TTAAGAGAAATTTTGCCGTATCCATGTTCCCGTGTATGAGTTTTTAGGAGTGTCCTCGTATTTTAATTTTAGACGGATGATGAATTAGATACTTAGATTGATACCCGAGTCGGAGTAACATAGAAGATGTGTATTATTCTATAATGAATTCCATGAATGACAGGTTACATGGACACAGATTGAAAGGCAGCTCTACCGTGAAAAAAAAGGTTCTTTTCCCTATCCCAAACTCTCCAAGAAAAGTTTGAGATTGTTGTGTGAAGATCCTTCTTCCTTCACAGCATCCACAGCCAAGCCTCTCCATTTAGCAGCATTTCTTCTTATTTTCTCCCCCTTTTCTCCACATCCCATCACAATACCCAAGCACCTCTTGATCTCCTCTCTCTCCACCAGCGATGCTTCATTAGCCTTTGCTCTTACCCCATTGCCCCAAACTTCCTCAATTAGTTTTGCGTTTGTTGTCTGATCAGAAAATTGTGGGCATCCAATCATTGGTATACCAGCAGTAAGGCTCTCCAATGTTGAATTCCACCCACAGTGCGTGAGAAAACACCCTATAGACTTGTGACAGAGTACTTGCATTTGTGAACACCATGGCACTATTATCCCCTTTCCACTCAGCCCATTTTCCATCATTTCCTTTACTTCTTGGTCTTCATTATCCGATTTTCGGATGACCATCAAATAATCCCAACCAGCTTCTTCTAATCCATGGAAAATCTCAATCTTTTGCTCTTTGTTTAACGTCGCAAGGCTTCCGAACGATACATAAACAACAGAGCGCTCTGGCTTCAAATCCAACCATCGAATATAGTCCTGTTTCGGGCTGTCAAATAAGTCACCACCAACAGACTTGTCTGTTAGATCAGTGCCATCAGAAAAAGCAGAAGGAATCAAAGGTCCAATGGGAATCACCTTCATATTAGTTATTGCTCTGAGTGATGCCTGTTCTAAGTCATTAAAAGTATTGACAAGTACACAAGCTTTAGTGTCTTGCTCCAAGATTTTTATATGTTCATGGAAAACAGGCACAGTAAAAGCGAAGTACGGATTAGAAGGCATGATTATAGTGGGCAAGTCGGTACTCAAAAACAATGGAAGATTAGGCAATTGTATTGAAATTGAGGGATCAATTTCACGAACACCATCATAAACACCATCCTGGCTGTTGAAGTATCTGAGGTAGATTGCAAATGCTGCAGCACACTGAATCACGAAAAAAACCGACGGTATTTGCATCTCAAAGGCCACTTCTGCCACCCAGGGCAATAAGATTGTGTAGATTAAGCAGGTAACAGGTCGGCCTTCGTCAGACAAAGTCTTGATCAACTCCCTGACGGTTTGGGTGCCGAAGTGTTTCAAGTCAGAAAAAAACCTCCCGCGATCGCGCCTTTTACCGGACTCCTCGTCATCGCAACCATCAGAGAAGGTGGCATAGGAAAGACCATTGTATCTTGGAAGGGCCTTGTTGATGCAGCTAAAGCCATGAACGGTGGTGGCAAAGGTGACTTGTGCACCATTTCGCGCAAGGCTCTTAGCTAGCTGAAGAGTTGGGTTGATGTGACCCTGGACTGGAAGGGCAGTTATGAGAAAGTGCTGAGGCTTCTTCATGATGGTTTGATTAACAATTAGTGAAGAGATTTTGACTGTTTAACTTTGTGGGATACAAATGCAGGAGATAACGAGAATAGTTACTTGCATTTGATGACTTTATAAGTGCCTTGTGATTAGCTTTTATACTTAGTGTTCACAATGTTTGACTTGTCTTGTTCTGTATGTTTAGTGTCTTTGAAAGTTCTCTTGGAAATGGACATATATTGGCTCTATTGGCTGGACTCCTCTACATTGCCGCCCCGCTTTTCCCTTCTCTCCTTACTTTCCAATACAAGTTTGGAACCCTTGTCAAACACTTCAACATAAAAAAAAGATTTGATAATCAGAATTAAATATGTTCGCAATGAAAAATGAAAAACTTATAGTAAATTTATTCAAACTTGCAGACAAAGGTATGATTTTGAGTTTCAATAGCATTGTTTATTTCATTCAAACGTGGAGACCAAGGCAATGATTTTCATTTTGAATAGCACTAGGTTCATGCTGACCGAAGTCTTGAAACATTTTTTTAAATTGGCAATCTGAAGTTGGGAACGTTACTTGAAGATCAAGAACAAATATGCAACTTCAATTGACATAATTGGTAATACCATGCCTCTTTTGTTGTATTCACAAGTCAAAAGTTAGCCATTGCTTGTTTTCCAAGTACTATTAGTACATTAATAAGAAATTCGCTTGACACATATAAATTCTATTCCACACGTACAAATGGACAGAATTTGAAAGTCGAACGAGAAACCTCGCGGCCACCTAGCTAATATCACTATCAATTGAGCTTATTCTTGAGAATATTTAACCTTTATCTGCAGATTTAGTTGAGGTAGTAGAATCCCGGCAATCGATCCCTTTGTTTTAGCCATCTGCCATGCAAACATGCATGGAAGAAAATCCAAACTAGTGGATCCTTCATTTTCACTACGTGGATTAACCTAATTTTTGAAGATATGTTGTGACTTATGATGTGGCTCCAACTAATATATTTACACCTTTTGATGTGGAATAAGGAAAATGTCAAGATAAAAAATGTGTTTTTGTTTTAATGGGCTTGGTGAATTTGGAACAATAATATTGTCCTTGTACTTGAACTGTCATCTTGTTGCAATCGCATGTTTCAGCCGTCTTCCGTACTGACCTCAAAAGGAAAGAATGGTTTTTAGCTTTTGGCAAGAACATACATGCAATATTCTACAAATAATAATTGAAAGCCTTCTCTTTTAAGCCGTCCTATCCTTTGGAATCCAATACCAACTTCTTTCTTCCTAACCTTTTGTCAATGTGGTTATCTGCTAAAAATTATGTCTGTGATAGTATCTCAGTAATTTCTCTCCTGAATTTCCTGCAAGAAGAACACTAATGGAAGTAAATTATACCATCTACACTTTACATCTATACTTTTCCATCCTTTGAAACTTGTAGTTAATCACAATAATGTTTCCAAGTATTTCCATTGATCCGTTAAACATGGTAAAAGATTTAATGTTCCTTAATTTAGCTCAGGCATGTGAATCTTTTGTTCTCAAAGCATGCGAAACTCAAATAATTACTGGATCTTAAACAAAGTTAATGTAGCAAATTAAATCGTTTGGATTAGCTATTTTTAGGGGTGTTTTTGAAAAATATTACTGTAGCAGAGTTTTTTTATAGTATATTTTAAGATATTTTTAGAAAATATTTTGGAATATTTAAAAGTAGAAGAGTTTTTAGAATATATTTTGGTATATTTTTTAAACATTAAAAAAAATTTAGACTACCTTTTAAGTACCTTTTAGAGTACTTTTTAAAAATTTTAATAGTATTTGAAATATTAATTTTTGAAAAACTCAGCAATCCAAACAGAAACTTAGTTGCGTCAAAGTTTAACAGTCAAATAACATGGCTCCGTTTGGATTAGCTGTTTTTGGGTTTGTTTTTCAAAAACACCACTGTAGCATTTTGAATCTGAAAAATAAGTCCATTTGGATTAGTTGTTTTTGGGGTTGTTTTTCAAAAACTATATGAAAAACTTTTACTGTAGAATTTTTTGGATTATTTTTAGAGGTATTTTTGAAACATATTTTTGAGTATTTTTAGAATATTATAATTTTAATATTTTAATATAAATATACATTTATGCATTTATAATCCATTTATATTTACAAATGTATAGATGTATATTATTATAAATGAATAAATTATAAATGAATATTATATAAATGTATAAATTTTATATTTTTATATAAATATGCATTTATGCATTTATAATACATTTATAGATATTTATAAATAAATATATTTATATATTCATATAAAAATATATAAATGTATTATATTATATATAATACATAATATAAATATATTTATAAATGTATAAGTGTATATTATTATAAATGTATAAATTATAAATGAATATTATAAATGTATAAATTAATATATTATAAATATATATTATTATTATGTAGAAATGTATTTATATAATTAATATAAATGTATATATGTATTGATATTATGTATAAATGTAAAATTAATATTATGTATATTAATATAAATGTATTAATATATATATAATACATAATATAAATGTATATTTAAATGTATAAGTGTATATTATTAAAAATGTATAAATTATAAATGAATATTATATAAATGTATAAATTAATAAATTATAAATATATATTAATATTATGTAGAAATGTATTAATATAATTAATATAAATGTATGCATGTATTAATATTATGTATAAATGTAAAATTAATATTATGTATATTAATATAAATGTATAAATGTATTATATTATATATTATATATATAATATAAATGTATATTATAAATATACATAAATATTTATATATTATGTATAAATGTACATTTATATAAATGTATAATATATTATACATTATATTATATATAATTTATATAACATATAATATTTATGTAAATATATTATAAATATATAAAAATATATTATAAATAAAATAAAATATTTATAATATGTATATATAAATATATAATATTAGAAATGTGTAATATATATAATATACATTATTATTAATATAATTTATGTATAATATACATAATTGAAATATATATATATTAATATATATTAATATATATTATAAAACAAAATTGAATAAATATATTTATAAATTTATATATAAAAAAATGTATTTATATAAATATATAATATTTATTTCAATTGATATAATATATATAATATTATACATAATTGAAATAAATATATTTATATTAATAATATATATATAATATACATAATTGAAATATACATATTAAAATACATAATTGAAATATACATATTAAAATATATTAAAATATAATTGAAATATACATATTAAAATACATAATTAAAATATACATAATTAAAATATACAAATGATAGAGTTGGGCCTCAAATAATTGGATCAGATTAGAAGAAGACAATAATGTGAAATGAATACAGCTGAAGCCCCTTACAAAAATGGCCCTTAAATCTCGAAATCCCAAAAATCAACAGCAACACTTAAAATGGGCGGCGCCACCCAGCAGCAGCTCCACCTCCTCCGCATACTCCTCTCCTGCCGGAAAATCACAGCCCAGGTGACGAAACCCATAACAGAATCCATCATAGCCATCGCTTCCACCACCGAGCCAGAGTTCTTACCTCAATTAAAGGCCAAGCAAAATCGTTTCCCGAGATCCCACAATTTCATGGACGCCAAAATCGCGGCCAGAATCGGCGAGAAACTCGGCCTCCGGCTTAAAGAACTCGGGGTTTTGAACGTCGAGATTGATTTCAACGAGGAGCTTCTTAGACCCGTTCATCAACAAAAGTTGGTGCGACCCATTTTTCAGAATGTTAAACGAGCTGGGATTAATATTTCCGGTGCTGAGAAGTTGCCGTTCGGAGGATGAGATCATGGATTTTGACGATGATGATCCGACGGTGTAGATTGGGTTTGCACGAATTTTCGCTGCTACTTAGGTGTACCGGAGCAAATGTACTATGATTTTTTTTTTTTTTGGAGTGGAGGAGTCATGTATAAAATTTAGTTTATGATTTGTTTCTCATTATTCACTAGTTAACTAGTTCTCCACTAGTTAACTATAGTTTTATTTGGTAATATATGTAAATGTTTTTTTGTTTTAGTATTTGGAAATTGAAACTTAATAGGTAATAAAGATGAACGAGTATCTATATCTATATGCATTGTAGAATGGATTTTTAACAGAGACCCTCTCAATGACTTCCAAACTTCTCATTCTTTTTTTTTAGATTTTTGTTTTTATTTTAATACATAAAAAGTAATGGGTTATAATCAACCCTATCACCAATTAAATTTAAAATTTAAAACATTCCCACCATCTACTTTATAAACCATTTATAGTTTGTTATTTATACTTTAAATCCTTTTTACTCCTTAATTAAAGACAAATACTCATTCGTATGCTATTTTAATACAATGTTACATTTTTATAATTAAGAAATATTTGTCACCACACTAACCCTATAACCATCCCTACAAATGAGCTTTGTAAATTACAATCACGTTTCAAAAAAATCACAAATGTGCAACTAAATGTAAAGTTGAGGAGGTAAAGTGCAGCTAAATGTAAAGTTATGGCTTCCAAACTTCTCATTCTTTTTTTTTAGATTTTTGTATTTATTTTAATACATAAAAAGTAGTGGGTTATAACCAACTCTATCACCAATTAAATTTAAAATTTAAAACATTCCCACCATCTACTTCATAAACCGTTTATAGTTTGTTATTTATACTTTAAATCCATTTTACTCCTTAATTAAAGACAAATGCTCATTCGTATGCTATTTTAATACAATATTACATTTTTATAATTAAGAAATATTTGTCACCACACTAACCCTATAACCACCCCTACAAATAAGCTTTGCAAATTACAATCACGTTTCAAAAAAAACCACAAATGTACAACTAAATGTAAAGTTGAGGAGGTAAAGTGCAGCTAAATGTAAAGTTGAGGGGTTTACTATATTTAACTCTAAAAAAAATCCCAAGAACGTAATAAGTAGTGGGTTATAGATTTTTGTATTTATTTTAATACATAAAAAGTAGTTGGTTATAACCAACCCTATCATCAGTCAAATTTAAAATTTAAAACTTTCTCATAATCTACTTCATAAACCATTTATAATTTGTTATTTGTACTTTAAATCTTTTTTACTCCTTAATTAAAGACAAATGCTCATTCACATGCTATTTTAATACAATTTTAATTCGCAAGCATATAACATGATAAAGAAATAGCAGAACCAATTAGGATTAGATTTTGACCCAAAAAAAAATTAGACCTAGATGGCACTGGCACGTTGCCGTAACTTGCGATGCCAATTAGGACTATTTAGTGTTTTTTTTTTGCAAGGAGTTAGGACACTGTAAAGCTTATTTAGGCAAACTTTGCCGCATCGGTGATTTGAGTATCAAGTTATTGAATATACTACAAATCCTATAATATCAGTTTGCTACAAAAAATAATATTTTACTGGTATGTGGTATTTGCGTACGAAATTTCAAAGGTAAATCAAATATTTTTACTTATACTCTATATAATTTGAATAGTTTTTTAGCGAATATAACCATACTATGCAGGACCATCACTTTGTACAATTGGAGCTAGCAAAGTGTATATCAATCACAATTTAAATTTTGCTCGATACCTGCACAGTTGGTGAGTTCCATCAGTAGTACTACATCAAACTTTTAATGTTGTTTCATACTCTTATCAACATGTATTTCAAAAAATTGTAGGTTTAAAAATGATACATGTGATTGAAAGTTAGTTACATGGTTGAGGTCAAGCAATTTTACAACATCACAAGCATTGTTGATAGCAAATTCAAAGAGAATATGGATATCCGAATATACAATCATGCGTACGGTAAACTTACTCTATTTAATTTAATTACTGCACAAATTTTTTAAATTTATAATCATAACCTATACCTTCTTTCATTCTAACTAGGTTAAATATTTTCGAATACTTGCTTACATTCAAAGCATTAACATAGAAAACATGTTCTATGAGCTATGCAAAAATTGTGGATAACTATGTGAAGGTCGTTTTTCAAAAACAGTGTATAGGTCGTTTTTCAAAAACAGTGTGTATGCATTGTAATGACGTGGTCGACACTGTTGTTAGGTAATTAATTTCATGTACCTTTAATTTCAACAAATTTTTCTGTATTGTATATAACATTTTATTTGTCAAACAGGTACAATGTTAACATACAAATCAAAGATTCCAGTGGTAACATGCATCTTAATCTACAGGACAGACATGCACGATTCATATTTGATTGTAATGCTTCTTATCTTAGAAAATTACAAAGAAAGGTAGAATTTCTTGATATATGTTTATTTTTTATAATACTATTTATAAACTATGTAAAAAAAATACACTAATTTTGAATTTCGCACGTACTTAATTCTCAGGACAATGGTGATAGGTTGTTCAACCAACGAATCAATTCATGCAAAGATCGTGCATTTTCATTTGTAGTACGCATTCCACAAAATTCAACAGAATTAATTAAATCACTAATTTTGGCTTTCGTACTAAAAGTTGATTGGTGTGAAGAGTGTTCGTACCTTCATGCAAGATTATCAAATCGAATGCATAATATTTGTAAGTATTTTATTTTAACAACATTTAATTACATTCATTTTTATTCATATATCATTCATTTTCTAATATAAATTTCTATTATTTTTTCAGGATCTATCTTCCGAAAAAAGGTAATTTTTGAATAATATACACATTCTATCATATTTCAAACTATTGTTAGACAGATATTATATTTTAATTGTGTTGGTACAATTTTTTAACATTTTTTAATTCACCATTTTATTTTCATTTTTTCAGTAATGTCAGCACCGTGTGTAACACGGGTATTCACACTAGTTAAAATTATGTAAAGAAGGGATGGGTTGGATTAGGGGTGCAAACGAGTTGAGTCAAGTCAAATTTTGGCCTAATTAAGTCGAGTCTTACCTTACTTTTATTGAACTCGAGCTCGACGAGCTGACAATTTTGAAACTCGAACTCGAGCTCGAATTCGAAAAAATAAAAATAATTATTTTATTTTTTAAAAAATAAATAAAATAATATTTTTCTTAATAAATAATAAAATATTAAGGATATATATGTAATTTTATTTTTAAAATAAAAAAATATATATATATATATATATATATATACTCAAACTCGCGAGCCGCTCGCGAGCTAACAAATTTAATAGTTTGAACTCGAATTCGAGCTCAAGTTGGACTCAAACTCGATATTGATCGAACTCGACTCGAACCGCTCGCGAGTTGCTCGGTTTGTTTGCACCCATAAGTTGGGTGTTGTAGAAGGAAGGAGCGTGAGCGAAAAAGGAGTGTAAATAAGATATTTTCTTTACAAAAAAGAAAAACTAAAAAAAATATTACAATTATGTGAGCCAAAAAAAAGGTAGGATTGTTAAAATTATGTGAAAAGTTTTGATTGGTTTGGATTTTACTTCTTGAAATTAAAAGGAATACTTATAATACGGAATGATTAATTTGTTTTTGCGATCATTTTAGAATTAAGGTCACATCATTTGAAGTTCGATTCTAGATGTCCACATAAAAGCCACACTTCTATATGAGAAATAATGGCTGATGACGGATCCTCTATCTAATATTTTGTATCCACTTTCCTGTCCAATACAAAACTAAGTAATTCCACTTATTATATCTGCTGATATGTCACATAAAAAAGAAAGGCTATTTGGCTGCCTTATTGGACAGAGGTTCCCAAAATTGTTTGCTTTCACTTACACCAAAAAGAAAAAAAATTGTTTTGTTGAAGAACTTCCTTCGTCTTCTAGGCAAAAAATGGTGGCAACAGGTTTTGGAAATTGTAACAGTAGCAATAGGGTTTTAAGAAATTGTAACAAAATTGTGTAAATAAAGGAAATCCAAAAAAGAAGAAAGAAGAAGAAGAAGCATAAGACAGCCAAACAGTTTTTCTTTTTTATGTACCACATCAGCAGATATAATAAGTGGAACTACATAGTTTTGTATTGGATAGGAATGTGAACACAAAATATTGGACAAAGGATCCCGTCTACTTTTAAGAGGCTCAAATGTCATTGCATAGCTATAATAGTCTTAGGCCCATTTGGACAGCCATTTTCTGCCAAAAAATTGCGTCGTTTTCCGTGATCACATTTTTCTATTACCTTTTTTCTCACATACATCAAATCGCTATAGTAATTTTTCTACAAAAAATCCAAGAAAATGCAATCCAAACAAGGCCTAATGATGGTGTTGATTTATTGCTGCCCATTTGCTGCCCAACTGATGTTGTTGATTCCGAATAGCTTATTCTTAGTAGTTGTCAAATGAACCCAATGATGGTTTTTCATCATATGCCCATCCATCAATTGGGCAGGATGGCTTCACTTATTTGTGATTTGACCTTGGAATCAACCGAATTTTAAGTTAAGAACCCATTAGCAGGTTTCTTAAATTTCAGCTGGCATACAAAGGCTGCTAAATCACATTTTACCTTGTGCCCAAAGAGGGGTTCTATACTCATTCTTGATCAATTACTAGGCATGTCAAATAATTAGTTCAAATCCAAACAAAAAATTTTCCGATCATGATGCCTCTGGCTGGGTATCGCATTACCATTCTTTCTTTCAACAAATTTAAAGGAAAAAAAGGGGGTAGTTGGGCTGTTAACTTTTTCAATGTAATCAAAGTCAATGAGAAGATTTCTTTTGATTATATAGAAACAAAAAATGTTGTTGGTCTGTTAAACTGATCCCTCAGCATCAACTGGATAGGATGAAATTGTTGCAAGGATGTCCAAATCCAGCTTGGATGGCCCATCCTCGCTCCCGTGTACAAATAAGCGCAATTGGGTGCGAGCCCATATGTTGTTTCATCCGTATAATGACTCCAAACTAGCACACGGATTTATATTTCAATTCAAAACAATACTCATAGTATAGAATAAAGTATATGAAAAAATAAAAAATTCAAAGAAGTGTATGTTTAACA